CTGTGTGGCCAAATCGGCTTCCTTCAACATGAGAATGGCATCCCTGAAATATTTTCCCTTGACGTGTGTCTTGATACCGAGCAATTCTTCTCTTGACTTCCTCCTTTAAATTGGGTTTAGCTCATTCTTCCATCAGTAAGTCCGGTGGAGTCTCCATGCTCTCCTTGTTGATGATTTGCCATTCATCGAATTTTCCTTCATAAAAACTTGATGTTGTGACTATAGCTATTTAGATTATAGTTGATTGGCAGCATAGCTTCTGTCCCATGTTAAAACATGACTGGGGTCTATCTAGTCATTTTTAAAGGTGTCGTCTTAAGTGTAAATAAAATAGATGAAAGGAAGTCAGCCCACTTAGCTTTGTTCCTTCATCCTTCCTTCTTATTAAGTTTAAGATTAGCTTCATGTGGCTTCAGCCTGCCGATTCGTCCACAAATGATGAACAAAGACAAACTTTAACTCCCTGGCTCCAGTATAAATCCTTAACTTTTTTATTAGCGAATTGTGTTTCATTACGGTGATAATCACCAGGGGCAGGCTGTATCGGCGGATTAACGGATGACTTTAGCAAATGACCTGACAAGAGCTTAGCTTCGATCCATTTCAAGTGGTCAATCATGAATAGAATAAACTTTTATTATGCCCTAGAAGGGGGAAACGACCCCAGAAGGTCTAGCCTCCCGATGATGAATGGCCAAGAACTCATAATGGGTTATTTTGTGGGAATGTTTTAATTGCATAGAAGCAAATTTTTTATATTGTTTGTAACTTCTTGAAAAATTTTCTACATATTTACTGAGGGTTGGCCAAAAATAACCCTTCCTGACTATCTGTCGCACTCACCCAAATGAACTTCTTTGAGAATTTCAGTCATTTCATCTTCGTGCACGCATCTGAAGCACATGATGTTGCAAACCTTCGAAAAAGTTCTTTGTTTAGGATAGGGAATTATGTTGTCTTGATTCTGAATCACCTTTAGTCCTTTAATTTAACAGTTAGTTCCCATTATTGAAAATTTGGACGTTATGGATCCACCCAACATACGGTTTCTTCAATCTCTACACCCATGACTTCAGCTTCCTTAATCGTTGGACAAGTGAGTTTCTGCAGCAGCATTTTGACTGTATGGTTGCATCCGGACATGAGATCGCCTACTTATCTCTCATCCTTTGAAATATGTTCTATTATGAAGGATTCAAATTTTCCTATCTTCATCTTCACCTTCGCGAGGTATTTCAATGTATCTTCCCTAGCCTCGAAATGGTCGTTCACTTGATTGACTACATGTTGAGTGAGACCGCAGTCTTAGTTTGATCCTTGGGCGAAATGCAACCCGACGATGAAGGCTTCATGCTCGACTTGGTTGTTGATTACCTCAAACTTGACTTTTGCTGAATGGCACAGGTGGTACTTGATCAGACTTCTCAGCAGCTTTATTGGTCCAACTTCATTTTAACTTGATGCTCCATCCATGTGGAGGACCCAAGTTGGGTGCTCAATTGATGCTTCATTTTCTTGATTACCAAGTTCGGATAAATCTACAAGAAAACAAGTGACAGCCTACGCCTTAATCGTTGTTCTAGGCTTATAGAATAGGTCGAATTCGCTGAGCTCAACCGCCTATTTGAGAAATCGCCAAGAATGATCTAGCCTAACAAGAATCAACTTGAGAGGATGATCGGTAATAACTTGTTTGAAAGTATGGTCGAAACCCCTGTTGTGAAACAACTGGAGCAAATGTTAGTTTTTTTCATAATCAAATACCTGATTTCAGCGCTCTTAAGGATTTGGCTAATGTAGTAAATTGGGAACTACTTTCCTCATTCCTCACGTAGACAACTCCTCACCAACATTCGAGCTCTAAAGTAAAAGGCTATAACGCGAGGAAGCTCTTCAGTTGCTTGAAGGCTTATTCACATTTTACCATCCATGCAAATTTTTTTGCATGTCTCAAGGTTTTGAAGAAAACGACGCATTTATCCCCAGACCAAGAGATAAAATGGTTGAAACCTGCGATTCAACCTGCTAACTTTTGTAATTATTTCATGTTGCGAGAGGATGACATGTCTCTGAGTACTTGAACTTTTTCAGGATTTTCTTTAACTCCTTCAAGAGTTAACATATTTCCTACGAATAAGAATTTTTTTGTTCCGACTCCAAATTTATACTTTAACGGATTTAATTTCATGTTATTTTTTCTTAAAATTTCAAAAGTTATTTTAGATCATTTACACGTTGTTCGAGTCATTTACTCTTAACTAGAATATTATTGACACACACTTTAATGTTATTTCATTTCTGAATGGCAAAGATTGCATCCATTATCTTTTGATAGGTGACTCCCGCATTCTTAAGCCAAAAGGGCATTACATTATACCAAAATACTCACCACTTTACAAATAAATATAGCATTTTCAGTATTTGTGAGATGCATCTTGATTTGGTGGTACCAGTAGAAAATGTCTGGGAAACTCATAATTGAATGACCAATTACTGAGTAGACAAGTGCATCGACTCATGGCAAGAGGTAGCTATCCTTTAGGCAGGCCGAGTTAAGACTAGAGAAATCGATACACATTCTCTACTTGTAATTCAACTTTGAGGCCATCACCACATTGACCACCCACTTCAGGTATTGTACTTCTGATGTATCCAACCTCTAATAGCTTTTGCATCTCTTCGTGAATGATTGCGCCAATGTGAGTGCTACAAACCACATCTTCTGCTTGATAGGTTAGGCCCTCAGATTAACACTCAGTTAGTGGCAAGACATCAACGGAGAGCTCCACCCCCCCCCCCCCCCCCCCCCCCCCC